CATAACAGCCTACCAAAAACATATCATCCACTCATGAGGTATTGTAGATTGTTGTAGTTAATTGACAATATTTCCCCACCATTTTTTCATTAGAATTTGACTGAAAAGAAAGTATATGCTTACTGAATTTATTTAATAAATTCAATACAATTCATCTTAAAATACAATTTGGAGGCAGGGGTTCATCTTGAATGGCAAATATAGCCCCAAACCTACATTTGAACTTGAAAATTTGGGGTTTGTCTTATACACCCAGTTGCCTTGTACACTGGCATGTACAGTAGTTTTTTTTTTATACTACTTGCCACCTATGGCTACAGAACAGAATTTACTCTGCTGTTAAATCCATAGCTAGGGGAGAAGAGCAGAGATGGATTTACACCTATTTCTAAGTTTATTAATGTGAAGTAAGCACAATGGGATAGACCAGAATATGAACTCAGTTCGCCTATTGCACTCACCATGTTGTAGTGAACCACCTCCATTCCTGGTGTATTTCATTGGTGAGATGTAAGTACCACTCAAGAAGTTTCTGCTGCTTTATGGAACTGACTTCCAAGAAGATGCTTCCATGATCACTACAATTTTAACCTGTTCAAGATTAAGGTTAACTATTATCTTCTCCACATATTGACATAAACTGTACCTCGAGTGGCTCCGGGGCCTTGTACAAGGTGAACATCAATGTAAAAAAACAAAAAAAATATACTTTATTATGTGGCATGAGCATATGTTTTAGCATACTTAGTTTTTATATAAATTTACAATGAATTTAGATAGTAAACTGAGGACTTCTTTTAAAATTCACAAAATTAAAAAGAAATGTTTTGATAATTGTAATTCAGAGTGCATAATCACTAATAATGTAAAAGGTTTTTTAATAAAAATGATTATTTTTATAGAAAGGATTGTTTCTGTAGAAATGTCTTTTATTCCTCAAAACATTTGTTGTAGAGCTGTAGATGTTAGTAATTATAAACCATTGCTTTGTTAGTGTAGTAAGCAAATTTGATCTTTAATTTTTTTTTTAAATCATTTCACCCTAAGCAAGGTGGGAATGCCACTAGTACACAGGGGATTACAGAGAGTGAAAGTGAGAGAAAAAATTGGGTACAGAGGGATTGAGGAAAGACCAAAAGATGAATGGGATTCAAGAAGATAGAAGACGATGATTGACATTGCATTTAAATTTTTGAAGATTGTAGTTATCTGGGAAGCATGTAAATGAAAGGGAGTTCCACAGACAGGAAGTGAGAGAAAAGAAACTGTAGAATTGATTGTTGAATTTAGCTATTTCAACAGTAAAAATGTGGGATCTATATGCTAATCTAGTAGCATGCTTAAATTCATGTAGGACCCTACATTCTCAGATGCAATACAAAAGTGTCTATGCCTCTGCCCTCTGAAGTGGGTGTTTATATATCTACTTGTCATATGTTTTTTTTCCCCATGCATACATCCTAGACATAGCTATAAGGGTCACCACAGACATCAAGTGAATCTCAGATATCTACCCCTGGCTAAGAGATTATCTCTTAGGTTAAGCATGCACTTGGCTTATCTGATAAGTCTATTCCACAAGGGAAAAGCATTTTGGAGTAATGGTTAGTGGCTCGGATTTGAAGAATCAGAGGGCTGAGTTTGAATTCCAGCATAGTTCATTACATTCACTTATGTACTAATACACTTGGGAATGGTATGAATCCATTTTTCCCCACTCCAGCTATGGGTAAAATAGCATGATAGACTGGGTTCTATAGCCTTGGGTGTCAACCAGTCTAGGAGAAGGAAACTTTGTATTCAAACTAGATCACACTATTATAAAGTTTGTATACATGCAGCTGGGGACTACTTGTGAATCCAAATCCATGATAATATTTGACATTGCATTTAAATTTTTGAAGATCAAAGTTGACTGGAAAGCAAGAAGCATTCTACAAGCAAGGTGTGAAAAAAGAAACTGTTAGCATCTAGCATATCAACTGTAAAATGATGAGATCTAGCTGCCAATTGAGTACTGTGCTTAAATTCATAAAGTTGAGGTACAAAAGAGGAAAGTTCATTAAAACAATTACCATGAAAATGTTTATAGAAAAAGCACAGGGAAGCTACATTACAGCAACAAGAAAGTGACTGAAACTAAAAGGTCAGGACCAATAACATTGCAGATTCTTCTTTGGATTTTATCAAGAATCTCTAAATACATAGCAGAAGCACCACACCAGTAAATATTCAATGCATGGATGAATGGTAGATTTATAAATGTGTAAGATAGATTCTGGCAAGAAAAATTGTCTAGCATGACAGTGAACCAACATTCTTAGCAGCGGACCTACCAATTGGTTCAATATAATATTCCCACTTCATGTCAGCAGAAATTCAATTCATTCAACAGTGAGACAAGGCAGTTGCTACCAGATTTTGGTATTGGGGAAAGTGAAGAACGTCAAATATGGATCTACTTTGAATCATCCACCAGGCACATAGACTGACCAGCAGTCAAAATGGATCTTCTTTTATGAAGTTTTAATTTCTTTTTTTTTTTGCCAGCTTCATCTGGAAAAGTCATTATTCACAGCTCTCAGCCCACATTTGTCTTAAACTAAAATATTTTGGTCACGCATTATCAGAAATAAGATATAGGTAAAAATGCAGATCCCAACTATGCTTTGAGCTGTCATGCCCAACTAAAGGGTCATTCTTCAAACTCCAATCTTGTTTAATGAACATCATTATTTATTTCTACAGTATGAATCGCTCATCTTGCTCCTCACTAGCTATGGGTTAAATAGCAGGGTAGACTAGGATCTCTAGCCTTGAATGCCAACCAATGTATATGAATGAAAACTGATTTCTAAACTGTGAAGAAGGCAGTCAGAAACTTCTATCTTTCCCAAGAATGCATTATAATTCACATAAAATAAAGGAACGTGTGGAGAGTCATGATCGCCTACATAAGTAACAACTTACTAAGTTACTGTGATAGTTCAAGATGATATAAAAGTGTGGATAGCTACAGTCAGTGTTCAAACCCAGGTAAAAGTCAGGGTTTTGAATGCTGCTTTTTAGAGCATATACTTCCCATTTGTAATACTAACACTACACAATCTTCCTCTTCCATTTCTTTTTTGTGTCGTATTTATGTTAAGTTTACAAAATTGTTGAATATGTGCTGTGATTCGTCGGGTTAGTAACATCCTTTTTTTCCACCAATTGGTTATTCTGGATTTTTTAGTTTGTTTCTTTATTACTGTAATAATTTAAATGAAGAAAGAAAGAACGAATAGGGAGACTGGTTGTAGGCACTGACATTTTTTTTTAAGAATCGTGCACGTCTTCCTTTGAATTTGTACAAAAAATATCACGGCTCGTCTGGTAATGACGTTAAACAAAGTTTAGCTAGCAGCAAGAAACCTCTCGGTTCCTCTACTAAATACCAAAAGCTCTACTGATTCTACTTTTAAAAATTAAGGTGCCGCGTTGTTATAGCGTGTGTGATGATACAGGGAGATACAATTACCAGAGAACTACCGCCAAGCGCACAGGCCGTGGCTCATTTGGCAAGAGATTTTCTTGATCAAAATTCTATGAACACTTATTGATTTTATTTGTTATATCCTTTGTCAAGTGGTACTTTTCTACTTTCAATCCGCGACGAAAATTGTATAGATATGATTTTTCGAGAAGAACTACTTGTAATGTATTATTGTAGTAGCAGTGTGTTTTTTTTAACTTGGTAACAAACGGGTCTTTAAATTAAAAGTGAAAGATTGCTTCTTTTTTGTTCAAGAACACTAAAGCTGAAGAAGAGTGAAGACTTTTTAGTTTCTTTGCATTACAGTTTTTTTTACCTCATACACATTGATTGAGCGTGTGTACTGTAATCTTATTTGCTCACAGAAAAAAATTACTCACAATAAATGGAATGGGAAAACATTTTTTTTAACAAATTAAAAGGATCATAGATAAGACTTTTTTTTATATTTATCCGTGCACCATATTCACTTCAAATAGGCTTGTGTTTGCAAATATTCGTGACACAAACTGAAATATACAAAAAACTACATTTACAATGTTGTTTTTTTTTAGTAGTTGTATAAAAAATGTTGTCAGTCGTGGCTCATAAGAAAAAAAGGTTTCTTAGATAGATCACAACATAGTAATCTTTAGATTTTTGGATGCGTATCTCATGTCACATGAAAGTAGATATGTGTATCTGTTTTTAAATCTGTTATTAATACTGGAAGTGTGTATTTTTTTATAGACAAAAGGAGATCTTTTTGAGGATTTTAATTAAAATGTCCATTTCGTCTGCTTGATAAATATAGAGTGTTGCGCATGCGCACAAGCACCAACTTCCGTCTAATGATCGCCCAGCTTCTTCGTTGTAGGCGTGTAGCTTGGCGCTCGGGCAGGTGCTGTTTGATTCTCAGAAAGCGAGTCGAAAGGAATGTTCTTAGAGCTGAAATTCCATCTTTTTGATATTGTCAAACAAACCATTAGTTGCAACCGCTGCTTAGTTTGTGCCATCGAGAAACTCTAGAAATAAATAAATAAATAAATAAAAACATTCCACCACTTCCACTTGTCAACTCGTTTGGCGGGCCGTAATTAAAGCGAAAGGGAAACCGCCTCCTCCTCCTCTTCTTCTTCTTCTTCGTCTCCTGACTCTTTTTTTTTTTTTTTTTTTAAATTTAATCTGGGGGTAGAGACAAATAATTACCTGCCTGTTTTGCATTGCATCTTCACCTTGAACTGTCTTCCACTGTAAAAGGAGAGGAAAAAATATAATTTTTTTTTAAAAAGTCAAAAAGGGAAATCGTTGTATGCATTTACAGCAAGATTTGGAAATATCGCCGTATTTTTTTCGTCTGCTTTTGGGACGACGAACTCGATTATTTCAAAGAACGAAAAAGAAATCAGTTCACAAGCAAGAAATATTTTATTAGTAAATTTAAATTAATACCAATTTTTGTTACTCCCAACTACTGAAAAAGAGGATGGAAGGTAAGTAAAATTTCTAAAAAATATTTATTTGTATTAAATTCATTTTTAGTTGTGGAGGGAAAAAGAACACATTACAAAAGAAGAGAGAATGTTTAATTTAGCGGTGTTTTTTTTCTGTGAACTATCAATGATTAATTGCAGATTTTTTTTTCTATGTAGGCCAATTTGTCTATTTTAAATAAATACTACTGACGCCTTTATGAAAAAAGATGATTGTCACTTGTTGAGAGATACAAAAAAGAGAAATAAAAAAGAAAGAAAAAGAAACAAGTTTCCCTGCTATGTGTCAAAAAATTTAAATATTCCGTCTGCCCCGAGAATGGACCAGCCTCTGGGGAAGAGCTGCATTCCCTACACTCAATCAATTACCAAAGCTAAGCAGTCACTCCACTAAATTTGATGATTTTTCCTTTTTGATGTATCTAAAAATGCAGAAATTAAAAAAAAAAAAATCCAAACTTTAAAAGTTTAAATATTTGTGACAGTATTTTTCTGAAAATATAATTAATCTAAAAAAAAAAAGAGTTTTTCTATTTTTTGGCCTTTTCTCATTTTAGACTACATTTTTTTCTTTTATTTATTTCTAAAACTAAAGCAATGCTGTTATCTTGAAATTGATCTTTCTTTAAGTTCCCCAAAAAATTAATTTCCTATTTATCAGCGATTAATTTTTTTTTTAAGTTAAAAAAAAATCCTGAAAAATCTCTCTGGAAAAATATTTATTTTCAGTGTTTTCACTTTTCACCGACTTGTTTTCAGTCTAAATTACGATAAGGTATCATGTGATCAAATATTGGAGTGTAAACTGTAGTAAATGTAGTTTTTTTTTGTTTTGTTTTTAATAAATCTTTTGTTGATATTCTTTAAAAATAAAATTCGTCTGAGTTGAGTCAAACAAAACAAAATGCTAACGAACCACTGTTTCTTTAAGTTCTTCGATTTTCCTTAAATTCTTAAAAAAATGATTGACAAACAAAAAAAAAAATTATTTAAAAATGCTGATCTCGAAAGCCGTTCATACCCAACTAATGCCGAGTAACTCAACTCTTCTTCTTAACTCATATTGCTAAAAGATTTGTGGCCTAAATGATGATTGTCGATTGAGGTAGTTGGACGTTTCCTTCTGGGACCAGTAGTCAGTGTTCGAGTCCATGTAAAAGCCAGCGTTTCAAATTGACAATGACAGGTCTTCTTCATTTGGAAGATTGACGCAGCACTATCTTCCTAATCTTCCACTAGGCTCTGTGACGGAACTTTAAATCCGTCACAGAGCCTACCGTGAAGTTTTAAGTGAAAGATTTTAAATTTCACAACGTGACAAAACCTTTTTAATTAATTTATTTTGCAGACGTGTTTTAATTGATTAACAGAACAGCGTTTTTTGTTTTTGTTTTTTTATTGATAATAAAAAGCTCATTAAAATCAATTAAAATTTCATTTGAATTGAACTCCACAGCAAAGTATTTTTTTTACAGATTTTACTTTGGAAATAAATTTAAATGGGATCCATTTAGTTTGAAATTAAACCTAAAATAGAAGCTTAAAGAAAAGTTTTTTTTTAATTTTTAAAAATGTATTTTAAAACTTATGTATCGCTTTTCTTTGGAGGTACAATTCTGAATGGAAGTGTTGAGTTTCGAACCCTTGTTGATAATTCCAATCAACCCAATAAGGTTTCGAAACTTGATACTTCCATTATTCATAATTTTTTAAGTTAAAAAAAAAACAATTTAGATATTATTTTATTGGAGTGAGGAATTTAAAAAGAAAGAAAAAAAAAAAGGCAGTAAATTATTTTTAAAAAAGTAAATGAATTTTCATTATCAGTTTTTTCACTGTGTGACCCATATTTGTGGGCTTTTCCTGTAATGCTTGTGCGATGTTCTTACTGTCTCATCCCTTTCTTTCCTAATTTTTCTTGATATTTATTTTTCCTTTATTAATTAAATTTTAATTCAAAATTATCAGTTTTTTTATTTTTTACTAATTTTCTTTTTTAAATACTTCAGAGCTGTAAAAATTTTGTTCGCCCCCATCCCCAAAAGTCATGGGTTCAACAAACAAATCCCGAAGAACGTCAATAAATGAAGAATATTTATTTAACTATTGGGTTTTTTTTCCTCCTTTATATGGTGTTGCCGTAAAACTCATCTTTGAGTTGAAGGGAAGAATTGAACATTTACTGATTATTAAAAAAGTAAAACCCAAAAATAAAATACCAATCAGACTTTTTTCTTAGATCTTTGTTTTGTTTTTTTCTTTTTCATAAATTTCTTTATCGCTACAAGAAAAATATAAAATGCTATGAAAGACCAGGATACAATAAAATTGTGTTTTTAAAATTGATTAAATTAATTAATTTTAAAAACACAATTTTATTGTATACCCTGAATGTGAATAATTAGATATGAATTCAGCCGGCCTCCCTAAACTCACAACAAAAAACTAAAAAAAGACACATTTTTAGTCTATTAGTCTTTTTTACTCTTCTTTTAGTAAATAAATCGAATCGTATAAAAATCAAAATCAATGTTCCTGGAAAAGACTGGATTTGTTAATTTTTTTCTCTCTCTCTTTTCAAAATTTTTTGTTGCTTTTATTTTATTTTGCCTTTGCGCGTGTTCTATCCATCTATAATTAAGTTAAGTATATTTCATTTTTAACTACAAGTATAAGAAGTACAGCATACCTACCAATCGCCATAAAAAGTAATTACATAAAATCTTTTCGTGATGGAAGACACTTTTTTATTTATTTATGAATAACTGTAGTGTAAATAAATCCCGCCATATTTTGAATTGTTTGACTGATCGGACCGATGTTCTAGAAGATCTTTTGGGACCCACACTGGGTCTTTCTTTGGAGACAATCTTCTGACAGAAAAGGTTTACTTTACTTGGCAGTGTCCATTTCCTTTCCAAGTAAGCCAGCTAATCCTGGGTTACATGGTAGCAAGGAAGAATTCTTTCACTGTCAATAAATTAAAAAGAAAGAAGCATCGGTGCTGACAAAAAAAGAAAAGATGATCTTCTTGTTCACTATTTATTTATTGGAAAGCTACTGAAATGGTCGTGTTGCTTTGCGTGCCATGTAGATTTTTTGAGTTTTTTATTTATTTATTTTTTTTTTTTTTCGTCCAAGTAAAACCCCTTTTTTGTGTGGCAATGTCTTAGTTTTTTTATTTACAAATTGAATTGAATTCTTTAAAAACATGCGTTTTAAATTATTACTGGAAGTTAAAATGATTTTTAAAAATAAATATAACATTTCCATTTTTGGACTTTCAATCCGAATTTCCGATAATCATGATTTTTTTTTAATTCTTAACTTTGATCAATTGAAAAAAAAATTCTTTTATTTGATTTATTGAGAAAAATAAAAGAAAAGATAAATTATTTATTCACAGATAAAAATGCCATTTACTTTAAAGATCGTTTATAATTACTTACTATGAAATTTAATTTATTGTATTTTTCTTTTTTATTTTCTCTTCGTCTCCTTCCTTCCTTTTCTCTCTTTCTTTCCTTCTTATTGAAATATTATCACCTCGTACCTTTCAAAATGTTTCTCTCTCTCTCTCTCTCTCTCTCTCTCTCTTCTTTTTACAATAAAGAAAGAGGAAATAAAGCTAATATAATTCAATTATAATATTAAATTTCCATTGAGATTCTTCAAGTTTCATCACTAACAGCTGTTTTTTGATTACAAATATTTTTAGGTCAATGTTGTGGTTCAAACCACATCGATGACTCGGCTTTTTAAAAAGATGTTTTATTTTTATTTTTATTTTTTATTTGCGATATTATTGAGTTTTTATTGATTTTTGTTTTTAGCAAATATTAAAAAATCAAACACGCATTTATAATTTTTTAATCTTTTTTTGTTACACGCTTTATTTATTTATTTTTTTTCACAGTTTCCACAAGTAAAACTAAAGGCTGACTTGATATATTTTTTTTTCGTCTGAATCAATTTCAACCAGTTGAGCTGGGTCGAGCAAAAATATTTTTTTAGTTTTTTGAAAAGTGTGTGGTGTACACAACTCATTAATTTGCAGCAATTTTTTTTTCTAAAGCAGAATAATTTTTTTGTAATTTTATTTTAATCATCTTTAGAAAAAATAATGTTGCATAAATGACTAATAACTAAGAAATTTTTCTTGATATTTTTTGACATTTTTCAAATTAATTTGATAAATGGGTTTTGTAAAAAAAAAAAAACAAAACAATTTCTGTTACGCTCAATATTGTTTTTTATTTATTTTTATTTATTTTTTTGCGTTTTTTGGTTTCGTACAAAGTTGACTCGACTTATGAGTGAAAAAAAAAAAATTTTTTTTTTTTTATCATTTTTAAATAATCCAATTATCTCACTCAGTAATGTCCCCAAAATCTTCGACTGTATTAATGTCAATGATGATCACCCTTTTCAGTCTTCACTCTCTTCTCCCCCTTCCCTTCATTTCATTTTTTTATTTTTAACATGCAAAAATCTAATCCCATGTTTTACTAGAACAGAATTTATTTCCGTATCCCCTCCCTTCACCCTAAAATCACGCAGCATCAACTCCTACCCTACCTAAGCGTTTTCTGTGGGTCATTTATTTTTCGGGTTTCACAATAAAACTGATGATCTGAACTTAGAGGATCCTTGTGCAAGTAATTAATTAATTGTTTGAGCATAAGGTAACGAGCCTCACCAAATATGCACTTGAGCTACGATCTTTTCTGAAGTTTTCCTCAAGTCTGGGAAATCAGTATTACTATTTAAAATAAAAAGAATTATAGCATATCACACCAACCCGGTTTTTGAGACGTAGTCATTGCCTGGCTCATATTTTCTGCAGATCTTTCTCAGAGTTATTTGTCAATTAAATTTATTTTATTTAGTCTTTTTTGGTCAAAGAGGGAAAATATTGTAAGAAGGGCATTATTATTTGGTGGAACTAAAGAATTGAACTCGTTTGAATATTTTCCATGGAAATAGCGATAGACTTGTGG